TTCTTTTTCTCAGACTACTCACTGCCCAAAGCCACTACTCAAACATTATCTCTCTCACATCTCTCTATTATTTACTCTTGGATTCCGCAAAGTTAAAAATAAAGTGTACTCAGGTTTTGCTTCTCAAATCTCTCTTCCAAATTCATTTCTCACATTTTATTTTGAACAAAAACTGAATCTTTTCTCCAAGCTGTAAGGGAGTCTCACTTCTTTTTAGTTCTTCTGAATTTGTTTTTGATGATGGAGTTTCATGAAACTCTTTAAATACACTTGCTTTCTGAAAAAAAAAATGATGTAGCTTTCCTGGAAAATGTATTTTCTTTTCCTCCATACCTGGTGGTCTCATTAAAAAAAACAAATCTCTTTTTTTTTCTCTTTGCTGTTTTGTAAGTTTTAAGGTTAAATGTTTGAAGCTATTTCGGTGCTGCACTGTGATTGTTTGCTAATGCTTTACTTTACTCAACCTGATGATTGCTTGCTTCACTCAAGTGACTTTTATAAATTAGATTCTCCTTTCTTATGAAAAAGTTTATCCAGGAATCCAAATAGATTTTATTTCCCCTTGTCTTGTCTTTGAGTGAGTATATAAAAACTGTTTAATTTAATACTATTTTGTTTTATGTAAAAGATGTTTAAACTCATTATGATTCATGATAGTTGTTCTTCAACGTCTAATAAGTCCCCTCCTTTCACGCCAATAATGGAGGAGAGGATGGAACTTGATCTAGAAAAAATGACAGTTTAGCCCTCTTGTGTTCCATTTAGGAGTGAGAATCTGGTCTGGTAGGGACATAAAATGTAAAGCTACCACATTATACTGCTTTTGTAGTTGTGTGTAGGTCCCTTTGGTTACCAACCTTCATGATGATAGGTTGTGAACTTTACATAGTCAGGAGGGTTCCTTTTTTGTGACTTTATATGTGTAGTTGACATCAATGGTTGCAATGTCAAGATATGAGTTATTTTGTTTGGGTTTATTTGGGTGAACTTCAGAACGAAAGCTCAGTTATGTAGTCTTTGAAATCATCTTTTGTCATTATGCTTTTAATTCTCCTGAGATTGTGACTCTGATTGTGTTGATTGTATCTCTCTCACTTTAATTACATAACCTGTGAAATATTATAGACTCAAGATTTTTTTTTTTTTTTTTGGTTTTCTAGAGCTATGTGTGAGTAGATTCAGTTGGGTAGAAAAGTTTTATTGAAAGAAAGAAGCCATGCGGTTGTTATAAAAATCAGATGTTTTATCAGGACACCACCTAACGAATCTCTATGACAACATAAGACATTAGGAAAAGAAAATATTGTGTTTCTTCTTTAAGATGTTCATTTTCTGCTAATGGATACAGGCTTAAATAAATATTTTTTTCTATAAAACTTTTCTTTGTAATAACTCATATCATGTTTTCTCTGCCACTGGACTGTTAAACATTTTTCCATCTTTCTGCATTAGATATTTATGAGATCTCTACAATTCTTGGTGGGACAGGCTCTACATTGAAGAAGCTGGAAATATCTTTTTGGTAAACTAAAAAGGTATTCATCTTGTGCATTAGAGGGATAATATTTCAGAATGCAGACCCAAAAGGCAAGGTAAATCTTTGGTTTGACTTTCTATAGTTTCTTTGCTTTTATGGTTGATTCTACTCCCCTTGTGGGGTTGTTTTACAACACTGCATCTTAAAGGTTTCATTGTTGTGGTCCTCAAATACTTATTGCTTCTGTTTAATCAAAACCCGTCACAATATTGAACAAGAAATCAATCTAGCCAACAAGTTCTGGAGTGTGAAATCTCTTTGGTTTTAAGTTTGTCATTTTTTTTTTTGTTTTTTAATCTTTGTTTGTGTTTTGGGGTGGCAGTAATGGATCTCCAGATGTTCCTAAGAAAGTGTCTCCTCGAGCTGCTCGGCCACTGAAGATTACAGCGCTAGAGCTTGACTCTTCTTCATCTCCTATAATCTCAGCTAACAACAGAACACCAAAGAACAAAACTCCAAAAGTTCTGGACCGTAGGTCTCCAAGAAGCCCTGTCTCCGAGGTATGATCCTCTTGTACTCTTCTTTGTTTCAGACTCAATCTAAGGGTCTTCAATGTAAAGCTTCTTGTTGCATTTTAGATTTCATACAAATCTATTTTATTTGCATGATCCAAGATAAGCCGTTCCATCATAACATGTTTTTGTATTGACTTTGATGAGGAAAATGTTAGCATACATTTAATTTTGGGGCCTAAGGGATATACAGTTAGGTAGAACATTTAGTTTGGAGTAGTTGAGTTCATTCAATTGTATGTTTCTTTTTCTCTCCTAGAGATTGCCGTAAACACTGCCTTGTTTGTTTTGCTAACAGAAGAAGAGGCCGAGTAGAATCACAGAGCTTGAGACACTAGTCTCACAGCTTCAAGAAGAGCTAAAGAAGGCGAAAGATCAAGTCACAGTGTCTGAGACATCAAAGAAGCAAGCAGAGCAAGAAGCAGAAGAGTCAAGGAAACAGCTAGAAGAAGTTTCATCTAAGCTCCAGGAGACTCCGAATCAAGTTTTGGAAGTTTCAGCTTGTGATTTGGAGTTTGGTGATACTGCTGATGAAAGGGCAGGATTGGCTTTTGTTATTCAAGAGATCAGACAACTCAAGCTTCAGACTGAGATGGTGGCTTCTTCTGAAGCTGTTCATGTGAAACAAGCTGAGCTGCGTAACTCAGAGATTCACCTTTTGAGAGGGAACTTAATGGACACAGTTTTTCTCGTTGAGAATTTTAGGAACCAGCTTAAGGACTGTGAGGTATCAGAAGCTGAAACGGAGGCCTTAGCCACAGAAACTCTTAGGCAACTGGAGAATGCTAAAAAGGCAGTTGAAGAACTGAAGTCAGATGGCTTAAAAGCAGTTGAAAGTTATAAGAAGATGGCTGCAGAGCTTGAACAGTCAAAATCAAGAATGGTATTGCTTGAAGCTCTTGTGACTAAACTCCAGTCCAGCCCGGAGGATTTGGAAAACCATGAGACTCTGCTTAAAGACTATGAAGAAGTATCTTCCTTAAGATGTGAGGTAGAGAGACTGAGAGCGGCCTTAGAAGCTTCTGAGAAAAAAGATCAAGAGGGGAATGTAGAGGCTTCTTCTCGGTTAAGGATACAAGCTGAACTCCAGTCTGAACTAAAGATCGCTAAATCCGAGATAGATGAGTTAAAGGCGAAGTTAATGGACAAGGAAGCAGAGTTACAGTTTGTTTCTGAGGAGAAAGATAACATATACCTGAAACTGGTGAAGAACAAGAAAAACACAGATGTTGAAGCTGAGCTGAAGCAACTAAAGGAGGTGGTGGAGAACCTAAAGGCGGATTTGATGGATAAAGAGACAGAACTCCAGATAGTTTCAGACGAGAACGAGACACTGAAGTCAGATATCAACAAGAGGGAGACTGATGTACAAGACGTGCTCTTGAAGCTAGGGATTGCAATGGAAGAAGCTGATAAGAGTAGCAAGAGAGCGGTGAGAGTGACCGAGCAACTAGATGCAACTCAAGCGTCGAACTCAGAAATGGAGATAGAACTCAGGAAGCTTAAAGTTCAGTCAAATCAGTGGAGGAAAGCTGCTGAAGCTGCTACTGCCATGCTCTCTGCTGGAAACAATGGGAAGTTTGGTGAGAACTGTGATAAAACGAACTCTCCTTACTCTGAGGATGTTGATGATGAAGTGACAAAGAAGAAAAATGGGAATGTGCTCAAGAAGATTGGTGTTTTGTGGAAGAAGCCTCAGAAATAGATAGGGGAATGACTACTATAATAATTAGGTAAAATCTTATTCTAAAGTTTATATATTTTTAGATCAATGGTCTCTTTCAATTCTCTAGAGGAAATGACTCTCTCTTTGCTCAATGCTCATTTTGGTTTCAGCTTCTCAGGTACCGTTGATTTGGAGTTGGATTATAAAGAGCAACTCTTGTGACTCTTGTATTGGTGTAATTTAGTAGTTTGAGGACTATGTTCTGAAAAAACACATGTTCAAAAGATTTTAGTAATGGTAATTTTATGTTAAGTATTCAGGAGGGAACTGTTAATTCTGTTATTATGGAACTGGTTGTTACATGTTGATATCTAATGCAACAAAGCTTCCGGTTAACTTAGAAGGGTTGGAATGATCAGTGGGCCTAAAGTAAGGCCCAATAAGTCCTAAAGAGAAGAAATGTTTTTTTTTGTAACATAAAATGAAATGTTTTTTTTTCTTCGTTAGTAATGCCTTTTGTTTATACCATTTAATCTACCAACAAAGAACAAACACAAAGATGTTAACACAAGAACCGAAGGTAATACATGATTTATTCTATTGTTCGAGCTTCCATAGTAGGAACTTTTGGGCCTATAGAAAGAGGCCATGTTCGAAAACGCGGTTAAGGCGGCCGAGTACGCGGCGGAACGGCACTAGCCGGTGTATACCCGTGGCGATTTTGGTTATTGGAAAGTGGTGACTAACTAGAAGAAATGACAAAGTGGAAGTTTCATGAGTTTTTGATTCAGATGTTAGGTTTGGTAACCCACATCCACAATATGTCACTATTGTCAGTTGTTGATTGGATCTTCCGACAAAATCAGCTTCAGCACCTACATATTATCTTACTTGTTCGATCACAAAACTCCGATAAGTAATATACTAAAATGTAGTATTATAATTGACTTAATATGATCAATTAGTATATATAATATGTACGCGTGTTTCTGTATGTATACATAAACACGTGTTTCTGTGTGTAGAGCAACTATCCAACTACAAGCCAACAAAGATTTTCAAAACATTCTCTTGACTCTTTAAGTGTATATGAGCAGATGCAATAATATTAGGGTAGGTGAGATCTTTTCCAGTCATCACTCATCATTACTTCAGGTGTTACGTTCTCACCCCCAGAAAATCAGGAATATAAACTATATATTTGTGTTTCAAAAAAAAAAAAAAAAAAACTATATATTTAACTCGTGATTCATCTGGTACTTAATTGACTTTTAATTGCCTCATATCATAATCTCTCGTCTAAAAGCATCAGCTAGATATATTACTCTTTTGGATACTAACATAATAATATGTAGCAGGATTAAATTATCAACCAGTAGTCCACATTAGACCAAATATATTTATATAAAATCAAACAACAATGTTACCAAAATTGATGCTATACGTCACTAAATCAATTAAGTAGGTAGACAAAAAGGAAAAAAAAATATAGAGAAGATCAATTAAGTAAAAACAGCAACGTCATTTGAAAGCATTGATAGTTAAACAATTAGGATTCAAGGAGAGTTGTCAAAAAAAAAAAGGATTCAGAGAGAGAAATAGGGTTTAGTGTTAAACACACAATTCCATTCTTTGGTAAATTAACTCAATTTTCATTGATATATCCATTGTTGTTTATTGCAGAAAATATATTAACTTTGCACACAAATTATTTTAAAAACTTAAAAAACAAAGGAAATGTCTCATTGAAAACATAGTAGTGAATACATTAATGAGCATACAAAAGAAAGAAACTCAACAATTTAGATCATAGACACAAATAAAACCACCCCAACCCTCCATATTGCAAGTTTGAAACTCTTTTATAGGCTCATATATCTATATTTCCCTAACCATATCAGCTCCCACCTTTCCCCCCCCAATAACTATATGAAACTCAAACGCTAAAAATAAAACCCAAATAGAATTTGAGGTTGTAATTTTGAACTACATCAGAGCACCAGAATTAATATAGTTCATATTGGTCCAAATCTCTCTCCCTGAATCAAGCTGATGATCTACATGACCACCTCCTCCCATGTTCATCATCCCAAAGCCCTCTCCATTCATCTGCCACGGAAATCCCCATAACATCTTGTTTGGATCAGTCATAGACATATCCAAACCGCTGTTCCCGTTTCCAAACGCATAACCAGCGTTCCCCTTTTGCTGACTTGTTCCAAACACACTCTCCATGTCAGGCTGATGAGAGCTACCAAACCCTAGCTGTGAAGAATTCCCCGGAGGTTGCTTGTTCAGCAATGCAAAGGCTAAGCTGAGATCAATGTGTTCATTGTTACTATACCCACCGAAACTCGCCGCCGAGAACGCTTTCCCCTCGTGGGACGCTGGTTCCGGGGTGGTTCTAAGGCTTCTTGTCGCCGAGCGTTTGTTTTTCCGGCAGCCGCCTCCGACGGGAATGTTCCTTAGGGTTCCGCCTTTGGTCCAATATCTCCTACATGATTTGCAGAAGTAGCGAGGCTGAGAGAGGCTGTAGTTGTTGTAGTAGCAAAACTTTGTGTTCGTTGAGTCGCAACGTGGACATCTCACGGTCAGCTCCGGTGGCTGTGGCTTCGCCGCACCAGTTGCCGGAGAAGGTTTTTTCTGATCCTGGCCTAAACATGATCCTCCCATGGCTTCTCTTGCTTTGTTATAATTCCCAAACACATCCTTTAAGAAAAAGGAAACACATCAAGATTATAATTTAAATAGGCAATACCCATCAAGATTTTTGTTCAAATAAACAAGATTAATCAAGATGTTAAAAGTTGTGGATCTTTGTTAGAGCTTTACCTGTTGCTGTAACAAATGATCCATAAGAGCTAAGAAACTCCTTGAAGATTATTAGATGAGTGTGAGTTGTTTATGTGTAGGAGATATGGATATTGTTTCCTTGAGATTAGAGAGATGGATATGAGTATAAAAGTGAAACAAAAGGAAAAGCCAAGCATATGTATATATAGATGGGGATGTGGGAGGAGAGATACACATAATTGTCGTGGCCTCGGTCCAAAACTATTTATGTAAAATAGTATTATATTCTGACATTTAATTAATTAGACAATGGCATGAAGAATAATGTGAACAAATCCGGAAGGTTACTTGGAGACCATAAAGCCGCCGTTTATGTTGTTCAAGAAGTATGTGTTTAGGTGTACATAAAACATAACTCTTATGTGATTTTTGTACTGGTAAGTTAAAAAAAGAAAATTGTCTACACAATATAAATTAAGACTTGTGGAAAGAAAAATAGATTTTGTTGGGTTATAATTTTTTCTTCAAAATACTATGTGTTACGTTGTCGTTAAGTTACTCCACATAATGGATTGGTCAAATTCTTTTAGCGGGTCAATAATATGATGAGTTTCAATATATATCAACAATGTGAATTAAGATCTGTTTAGTTGAGGATGGATAGTGACCGTACGATAATGGATGAACGACGGTGCTCTACGTCGTGTTCCCAAATAGTCCCAAAAAAAAAGTCTGTTTTCTGTCCCAATGGTCGCTGAGTTGTCACCTCGTGGGACCAATAGTCATCGCGATGTCTTCTTTCTTCATTTCGGACCGATCTTTTCAAGTGATCACCTCCGTGCCGTACTAGAGAGTGACCAGACATCTCTAGTTTCTGTTTCTATTTTTTTGCTAAAATATCTAGTTTCCGTCGTGATCTATTTATATATTCAATTTGAATGGATTTTACAAGTGGCAAATCATATACTGCGTATCTGTTTGGGTAAAAGGAATCATGCATGATAACATAGCAAACCTATGCTGAAAATTATATTTTGCTTAATGACCAAATCATAGATATTAATACGTCAATGTAATTGAAATTTTTTTTTTTTGGTGTAATTGAATAATTGTGTTTGACACAAATTTTACATAAGATTGGACAGAACGTTGTGAAACGCATAAAAGCTATGATAAATGATTTATAGAACCTTATTAATTCAATAGAAACGTTAGTAAAGATAGTAAACATTTGGCTTAATTCTATCACATAACCTCAGATGTACGCAGAATGCAAGCACTCAATAATTAAACTCAGCCAATGATTTTCAAAAGTGGGACAACTATCATCCTAGTCTAATTACAATATTACATGTTATGGAAGTTATATATAGTTAACTTATTCGAAACCTATTGTAAAAATATGACTACAATACTTTCGTAAGTTTCCTATCTTTTATAATATATTCTTGAATAGAACAAATGATATTTGAGTAAAAGCAAAGAATTGGCCGGAGAATGAGTATCTGATCATGATGTGCTTCAGTGTTGCATTATCCCATGGGGATTTAAAATTCATAGAGACACGAATCACACTAACACATCGGGTTGCGGAAAAGAAATATCTATGAAGACCGAGATTTGGTCTAAGGACTATCTCCACACCACACATATCCATTATGTTATTATATTGATCTATACTATAATTTTAGATAGCATATACGATTTTTAAACATTGTGTCATGTGAAGAAAGAATGATTAACTCATACAATTACCCAAAAATGATTGATTTCTTGTGATTTTTTTTGGGTTGGTCTATTACACAACATATTTTTCTTCTTTTTGACACTGTACTACACAACATCTTCTTTATTACAAAAACAAAACTAGAAAATTTTATGTAACTTCATTATGTTACATGTAATTGTAAAATATATTATTAGTTAATAAAACAAATTATTCAGTTCCATTTTAGTATACTACTAGTATTTGGGCCCGTACTACGTACGGGTACATAATTCCTTAATTTAAATATGTATTAATACTATATATTTGGTTAAAATGCACTAACACCAAATATAATATATATCCCCTATTCATGGATGCAAAGATATGCTAAAGAGTGTTAATTTGTATCTGTAAAAACCATTGATTGTTGGTAATATATTTAGAAAATTATAAAAATTTACAGCAACAATAAACTAAATATTTATGTTAACAATAAGCTAATATACCTCTACTAATAGTGCCTTAATCTCCATCCACAGATATACTGATACGCCATCTTCACACTCCTTCTTTTTTTGAGAAAAATCTTCACGTTCCTTAATAGCAAGATGTTCTATCTTTTCTTTGCCCTATACCATAATAAACAAAAAAAAAAAATAGCCGCAAAACTCAGCAACGTTAATCTTTTCATGTTAACTGAAAAAGTGCAAAATATTTACTTTAGTACTTTCATGGTCTGATTTTTAAATTTGTGCAGCCTTGCTGTACTTTCCTCTTCCTTTGAATAATCCGTATAAGAAAAGTTCAAACTGAATCACACAAAAAGATTATTATTTTGAGAAGCATAGAAAAATGATTTTGAATAAAAAGTAATCAAAAATCCATTTTGATCTTTGTTGCTACACTCGAAACTCAAAGAAAAATGAAGAAGAGGTATAACGATTAGGAAAAAGGGAGAACAAAACAAAAGATCATTAGATATTTGATAACTATATAACCAATGAAACAGTTAACAGTTTTAATCGTGCCATCAAATTAGGGTAGTGGAATTATTTATTTTTAGGGAGTTATCTTTTTATAATTGTTTAAATTTATAATTGGCTCAGATTGTTTTTTAACATTTACGTGATAATTTTGGTTTTCATTTTATTTTGTTTTTGAGAAAATATTCCACATGTCATTATTTTATTAGCTAGGTGACTTGTGCTTTAGTATATAGAGGATTTTTCTTCGTTTCATGTTCGACAAATTTACATAATGGGAAAAAAATCAAGGTTATACTAACCTGTAGTTTTCGGCGAGAAAAAAAATGGTGATTCAATCTTTTATAAAAAATATGGTGATTCATTTCAAACAATCATTGGTCTCCAAATATAACTGATGATCATTATGTTCCGCTTTGGACCCTACCTGCTTGTGGCTCCCAGGGACCAGGGTTCGTCAAAATAATCATGACGATAATTCCAATTTAATAACTTTAATTTATATAAGAAATTTATTGCACTAACAGTTCAGACATATATCGATTTCCCACTCTCTTTTTCTATTTGGCTTCTGATAACAGACATATTTCACATCTTTTCTTCCATCATGTTATATATCAGTTTAAATCATTTTAGAAGTATAAAATTTATTCCATTTTTACTGCCAATATATCGATTTAAAATGTCGTCTATGACAAGTATAAAGTTTAGTCAATTCTCTTAATTTCATCGTAAATCTGCTTTTTCTTTTAAAGAACAAAGAAATAGCTGTATGAAAAAAAGTAACTATACATCAAACTAATATATAAACTTATATAAATCAAAACATGTGGAGGTCAAGAAACAAAGATGAGAGGGACATAACATGAATTTTCCGTTCAAAATCAGTAAGCAGAAACCAGTAATCAGAACACTATAATCTTAGTCAAGACATTAACCAGAAGTGGTAGGACCACGGGAACATAGACACAAAACATTGTGGTTGACCAGTCAAAGTTATTATATTTTCAATTGTTTTATTAGGGTCTTTGTTAGACAAAGTGACAAAACTAATGTCTTGGGCAACAAAAAGAAGTTAAAGCAGATCGTATTGATAAGAGAGCTCTCAAATATAGGGCTGGGCATTTTATCCGTTATATTTGATTCGATCCGTTATTCGTTTCGATTCGATCCGAAAATTCCGGATATCCGTAAACTTTCGAATCAAAGCAAATACTAAAATTCAATATCCGTTAAAATCGAAGCAAATCACAAATATTAAATTTTTGGAAAGCGGATATCCGATCTGATCCGTAAATATATAAATATATG